TAGGGTTTAGGGTTTAGGGCGTTCTGTTCTTGTGTGTTTGGTATTCCGGCGCCATCACATCTTCAGGCTGGATGTCTCAAGCCTTAGCCCTGAACCCTAAGTGTTAAACCTAGATCCCTGAATCCCAAAGCTTAAGCTGTAGGCCTTAGATCGTAGGAAATCCCTCACCCTCAACTAACCGCAAGCCTGAACCTACAGCTAAGGGTTTCTGCTTCAGGGTCCGGGATGTAGGTTTGTGTTTGGGATTCAGGGTGTTCGAGCCTTGCGAACTCCCCCGTAAACCCTAAACTCTACATGCCAAAGCTGCAAAGGTCGGGGACTGCACTGTTGCCATGAAATCTCGCTTTTTCTGGGACGGAGCCTCTCGGTGCCCAGGTTTTGACGGGTTGGATTTAGCGTGTAGGGTTTAGTTTTGGAGTTTCGGGTTTAAAGGTTCGGTTTGGGGGTTTCCGGTTTGGGGTTTCTGGATTCAGGGCTTTGTTGGGTTTAACGTGTCCGGATTGCCAGGGCTTTATGAACCCTAANNCCCAAAACCCTAAACCTCAAAACCCAAAACCCAAAACCCTAAACCCTAAACCCTAGAGGCCTTGGGGTCCTTTTCCCCACCGGGCCCAGGAACGCATCAGGTCCGAGATGGATCCCGGTTCGTGCCTGGATGCTGCGGCAGATGACCGAATCTACATGCATCTTGCGTGCTTCTAGATTAGGTAACCTTTAGCCTTTTTTTTGGGTACTATAGTCCCTACATAACGCCAATATACTCCCAAAGGTTATCCTTTAGTTCCCAGGGTACCCGACAAGTAGGTCATGCCGTCTGCATGTAGACAGCACAAAGCTTTTCGGCCAAACTGCAGTATACTCCCTGTCTAAATGCGTCCAATGCTGTCATGGCCTCGGCACCAGACGTACAGAACTTTAAGCTTTAAGCCCAAAAAACCCGATATTATCCTTCATCCATACAAGGGCGAAATCCCAACACTCTCCTTGTCGGTAACACTTAACCTCCTGAGCCCTAAACTCAAAATTCTGAACCCGAATGCCGCAAGCCCTTGCATGTTTAGGCCTGAGTGTTGCGGCCTACAAAACATCATGAAACCCAGCATACTTGGAGGTTCGTGGGTAACTATAAATGGAATCATAAATCACTTAATATGCCTCATGACTATAGTTATCCTACTTATAACCCCTACTTAGATCTAAACATGAACCTGCAAGTACACCTTATGAAGCCCTCTAGTGAAAGCACTTGGCCCTAAAGCCCTCGAACGGGGCCGCTCTTGCCAGCTACTGGTACTCCTACTTCTACTCCTACGCCTACTCCTACTCTTACTACTACTCCACCCCTTCTCCTGCTCCTAGTAGTAGTAGTAGTAGTAGTAGTAGTAGTAGTAGCAGCAGCAGTAGTGGTAGTAGAGTAGTACTACTGCTGCACATACTACGACGACGACTACGACGGCTACTGCTACTGGCTACTGCTACTGCTATCCTGCAAACTGCTACCGCTAGGCCTACGACTTTTGCTAGTGCTAGTGCTAGTTGTGCAAACAACCCAATAGTTATTGTTGGTTGTTTCGTGTCCACCCCTAAACCCTAAACCCTAAACGCTAAACCCTAAACCTAAACCATCTGAGGCACGGTTGTCACGCTGGCAACAACCAGAAGTGGTACTTTGATGGCCAGCTCCTGAAGTCGAGGCGGGTGTTTCAGAAGCAAAGCCTAGACCACCGACTAGACCCTGAACCCTCAACCCTCCGGCCCCTAAAGGAACCCTTATAGAACCCCTAAAGCCCCTAAAGCAAACCCTTACAGAACCCTTAAAGCCTTAAAGGAACCCTTACAGAACCCTTAAAGCCCCTACAGAAACCCTTATAGAACCCCTACCCAAACCCTAGTGTTTTTCGGTTTGTCGGCTGAGGGTCCAGTTCTTGGCTGTCAGGTTGCGTTGGGTCTCTGGACTTCTGCCGCAAGATCTGTAGGGTTTAGGGTTTAAGGATTCGAATCGGTACTAATAATATCCCCTTATGGTCCGGATGTGATTCTACCATAACACCCCCCAAAAAAACAACTAGAAGACGAGTGGCC